ACATTTACAACAATTTCAAGCAGAAATGGGGGGATTTGGAATTAAGAAAGTGGTTTGGAAGGCAGCCAGCACATACAATGTGAGAGAACACACTAGGTGTATGAAAGAAATCCACAGACTTGTCCCAAAGAAAGATGGAAAGGTGACTCCATTTGAGTGGCTTAAGGCTATCCCTGAAGAGCACAGGGCAAGATGTTTCTTCACTTCCAATGCACTTTGTGATGTTATTGTGAATAATCTGTCAGAGTCCTTCAACAGTTACATCTTGGAAGCTAGAGATATGCCTATCATAGACATGTTTGAGTGGATAAGGAGAAGAATGATGGCAAGGATGCAGGTCAAGAGAGTTGGGATTGAAAAATATGCAGAGGATATATGTCCAAACACAATTAGAAAAATTGAAGAACAAAAGAGCTTCAGCAGAAACTGTTACCCAACTTGGGGTGGAGAAGATAAGTATGAGGTGGTGCATGGGGTTCAGAGTCATGTTGTGCAATTGAATGCTAGAAGTTGCACCTGTGGCATGTTTCAGTTGGTTGGGTATCCTTGTTGCCATGCATTGGCATGCATCTCATATCACAGGTGTAATCTTTCTGACTATGTGTCTGATTATTTCAAAAAAGAAATGTATGTGAAGGTGTATAGCCATATGATTAACCATGTTCCTGGGATGAATGACTTTGAGGAGTCTGGAATGGGCCCAATTCAGCCACCTGATCCTATGAAAAAAAGAGGTAGGCCAACCAAGAAAAGGAGGGCTGATGGTAATGATAAGAAGGCTATGGGAGGAAGTGTGAGCAGAAAGGGTCAGCTTAAGATATGCAAATTGTGTGGGGGTAAAAATCACAATAAAAGGAGTTGCATCAAACGGGCTAGGGAAAATTCTGGTGCTTCTGGACAGGTATATTCTTATTTTCATCATGTTATGCATTATATTTCATAAAATGTAATGTTAATTGGTTTTGTACATCCATGACAAATTTGCAGCAATCTCAACCTGCTGGTCCATGTCCATCTCAACCTACTGATCCATCTCAGCCTACTGGACCTGTT